GTTCACACCCCATCACAAGCCAGCAAAACATCCACGAAWCAAAGAAAGGTCTGTCACAGCCAAAAAATACACTCCAGACACGCCGATGGCACTAGAGGCACAGCATGGCCGCCTAGTAACGGCCCCGACCACTGCCGCTCGACCTGACCAGAAAAAACCGTAGCAGGAAGCTATATATCGTCACAAATAGAACTGCCCGGTAAACCGTAGGCAGAGAGAGAGAAGAGGACAACAAACGAGGGGCTGTGACATATTGTCACACTAAAAATCGGAGCGCAAAGGCGGAAAAAGACAAAACAAGAAAAAGAAAAAGAAGTAAGGAAGGAAAGCCCCACCTGTTCGTCACCTCTTACGTACAAGGCCAGCCACGTGGATGACAGGTTGAGCGCTGGCTGCCCCCATCCCCGTGTGTCATAAAGACCCACTTGCGCGCAGCCAAAAGGCAAAGAGGTAAAGAAAAGGCGGAGGAAACCAAACCTCACAGAAGAAGAAAGAAAGCCTATTAAACAGACGAAGCAAGTGACACATCCCACAGATAATCCAATTACCATCCCACAGAACATATTTTTCTTTTTTCTTTTTTCTTCTTTCTCAGGTTTCTTTTTTTGTGTTTTTCCTTCCTTGGTTTCGTTTTTTATTTATTTATTTCTTATCTTTTTACTCGGTTTCTTTTTTTATTTGTTTTTTCTACACTTCATCTGTCACCCCCTCGGCAGATAGGACAACTACGGTGAGGATGACGGGGATGTTCACATATCGTCACAAAGATATCAGAGCGCAAAAGCGGAACAAAACATATACCTATCTATCTATCTATCTATCTATCTATCTATCTTATCTATCTATCTATCTATCTATTTATCTATCTATCTATCTATCTATATAAAGGCTGAGGTTGCGCGGATACGATGCCGTTGAACGGATACGATGTTCTTGAAAGGATAAGAAGTACACGCTCCCCTCAGTTCCACCGCAGAGTGGCTTTCGCGGGTTTATCAATTTCTCCGGCCAGCAGCTCGGTAGTAGTACTGCTTAGGAGTCTTTGCCCGGAAGTTAATCCATAAGAAAGAAATCAGGTAAAACCCAGAGGCAGGCTACCTCCTCCCCTCTTCTTTTGTTTCTCTTCCTTTATAGCTTGGCAGCAGAGCCAGCGAGTTTTCCGCAGCAAAAGCAAAATCAAGCTTGCGAGGCGGAGGCCAGCAAAAACTGACTGACCCGGAGAGATGAGATGCTCGAGGGAGTGCGAAGAAAAATCGACAAGGAAAATGAGATCCACGTGGGTGACAGGAACCCCCCTCCCTGCCGCGCGACGGGGAGAGGGCAGCCGTCAGACGACGGGAGCAGTCGTGGGCAATAAGCAAGCAAGCGACCATCAAGGAAGCATCAACAGAAGAGGACGAGGAAAGCAGAAGTGTGGTGGAAGAAAAAGGAGGAGGGAGAGGAGGAGGCGGCATGCTTGAAGAAGAAAACCCGTTTCCGTTTTCCCTTATCGTAAAAGTTCAGTTTTTTCCACAAACAGAACGCACAATTACACGTGGCGTCCTCCTCGATGTCGGCACCCCATACCACAAGCCAGTGACAGACACGCATAACACTCCGTCGCACAGAAAAAGAGATGGAGAGAGAGAGAGAGAGAGAGAGAGAGAGAGAGAGAGAGAGAGAGAGAGAGAGAGAGAGAGAGAGAGAGAGAGAGAGAGAGAGAGA